TGTGGTGCTGGGGGATTGAACCGCGGTCCCTTGCTAAGCTTGTTCTAAGTAGGTGCTTTAGACCACTGAGCCATCTCTCCAGCCCCAAAAGTAACAGCTTATTACGATTTCTTTTTTTTATTTTTTTAATCTTTTTGGTGGAACTGGGGATTGAACTCAGGCCCTTGCGCTTGCCAGGGAAGCGCTTATTCCACTGAGCCATCTCCCCGGCCCCTATGGTTCAACTTTGAATAAAGAACTTCTGTGTATATTATTAGAAAATAAGTTCAGTGATAAGACTTCTTTCTTAAAGATCGTGTTTTCTCTCTGATCCCAGCCATAAAAATTTTCTCTGGTTTTGCCAAAATGATATAGCACTTGGGGACAAAGATGCAGCCCAGCAGACCTGCACTAGAGGCCAAGATGGAGAAGACCTCCATGGCCACCATGGCCTTCCCCTTGCTGCTGTGGTACACGGGCAGGAAGGTGACCCACACGCTGCAGAACACCAGCATGCTGAACGTTAGGAACTTGGCTTCGTTGAATGTGTCAGGCAGGTTCCTGGCAAGGAAAGCCACAGTGAAGCTCACCAGGGCCAGGGAGCCCAGGTATCCCAGGACACAGTAGAAGGCAGTGAGGGAGCCCTTGTTGCACACGATGATGATGTGACCATGTTCAGAGTGAGCATCTGTGTCAATATAGGGTGGATTTGTCCCCATCCAGATGCCACACAGAGAGAGTTGGATCAGGGAGCAGATGGGGATGATGGAGTTTGGTGCCCCTGACACCAGCAACTGCCTCATTCTTCTACCTGGAGCTGTGGCCTGAAAGGCCAGCACCACAGTAATGGTTTTGGCCAAGACAGTGGAAACAGCCACAGTGAAAACAAGTCCAAACATGGTCTGCTGCAGGATGCAGGTGGCTGTGTTGGGACGGCCAAGGAAGAGCAAGGAGCAGAGGAAACAGCAGGTGAGGGAGATGAGCAGGGTATAGCTGAGAGCCCTGTTGTTGGCCTTGACGATGGGAGTGTCTCTGTGCTTCACAAAGAGCCCAAGAACAGCAGCTGTGAGGACAGTGAGACTCAGGGCAGTGCCAGACAGAGCCTTCCCCAGGGGGTCTTCATATGTCAGAAATGTCACAGACTTTTTGAGGCAGTGGTCTCTCTGATTGTTGGCATATTGGTCATCAGGGCACTTCACACATTGTTCCATATCTAGAAAAAAATTAAAATTGTGACTTTCCTACATTTAGTATTTTCATTTTTAGAAGCCTATGCCCAGAAATTCATTGGAGTTGCTTGGACCAAATTGTCATTTTTGGTAGGTTTTTTGTTTTGTTTTCTTTTGTTTTTTTGCTTTTTCTTTCATTCTCTGTGTTTTATTTTATGTGGGACTAAGCTCAAAATTTACCCTGAGATATATTTCAAACCATTTTAAATTTTCTTAGTTTGAGAAAGCATGTCCTTAAATCATTAGTTTGCCATTACTGTCTTCTGACTTAAAATCTTTTCTTTTTCTCAGCTCCCAGATACCTCGACTGCAGGCAGGCAGAACCACATCTCACTTTTCCCTGATTTTCTAGACACAAGTTAACGAAACTGTATATAGAGATTAACTCCAAAATAACATTGTTTCTCAATGTTTTCCTTTTAAATCTGGCATATACATAAAACATTGTATTTTTGCTGAGTAATAAGATCAATCTTTATCATTTACTTTACTTATGTGATCTACGTCAAATCTCTATTAATGCTTCCCCAGATATTTCATGTAATACTAAAGCTATAACTTCTGTAAAAATGGCCGTTTTTCTAATCACATGTAGATATTTTTACTTGTTAAACCCCGTATTCTATGTCCATATTATCCTTGAAGTTCTGTGGTATAGTCTCCAATACCTTCCACAGGGTTTCTCCCCTTCTGTCTTATGCATTCCCGAGGAATGGGGATCAATCCTAAAAGCTGGACTGGGCGGTCCTAAGCATATTTTACATCTAAACAACCCCCTACATCCAGTCAAACTCAGCCTTTCTGAGCATGGGCTCTGTGTTAATAATGGTGTCAGTCACCGGAATTTGGAGTGGTCCTGCCCTTGTCTTTACTGTAATCTTGCTGTGGTTCCAAAGGTTGTAAAGGGTGGGCTTTATTACTGCTCTGCATTAAACTTCACAATGGAGATGGAGCACAGAAACTGTGGTTAGAGGGCCAGAATTTGTCTTCATGAAATAATGCTTTTAATGAAACTAGAAAAATACATCAATGTCCTTAGGTGTGACAATGTCTATGTGTTCTTCCAAACAATTAGTAGACTGAGACAAGTCTATCGACTGTTTGAGGCATTCTGAGACAAATTAGTGATATTCTGTCTTACCATAAGAAATAAGAATACCTGGGCACAGAGACCACTCATAATGCAAATTTTGATTCCATTCCTAATAGGGCAAAAAGCAAACAAAAAGAAGGATGAATAAGAATAGCAGAAAAGGAATATGAATTTGAATGAGTTTTGAAGAAGAAAATATGTTTTCTGACAGGCAGTAACCATCCATAATTTGACAATGAAGGAAGTGTTTTACCTTTGTGTCCTCTACAACACTTTTACCATTTCTTGTCGATGGAATGAAGATAACACAGAGTGAGAATTTGTCCCCAGAACATACTCCTACCTGTGTCATTGGTTATCTCATTGTCTACACATGGGGTGCAATCAAAACAGCAAGCAGACTTTCCCTCCTGAGGACTTTTTCGAAAGCCAGGACTGCAACTATCACTGCAGACTGAGTGAGGAGTCTAAGGAAAAAAATATATGTTGGTAAATTTTTAGACATTTACTTACTTCATCCGAGCTAGAGGGATAAACTTAATTTGTACATGTACATAAGCAGAACTATGTAGTTGCATGCTAAGCTTTTTTCATGATATGAAATATACTTAGAAATTAATAATTAAATGCATTATAATTCCTCTCATCAGAAAGGCTGTAACATTTTTAATTAAAAACTTACTATTGTTACTGAATTTTCACATATGACCATTATGTGTTAAAAATGTGGAGCACAAACCCTGTGCCAGTAGTTAGTTTACTTGTGGTTCGTAAGTGTGCCGTGATGAGATGCCACATACCTCTGTATCTCCTGCGGCCCACTCTATCATATCTTCAGATACAGTCATTTTATGGCCGTGTGGAGCTTGGGAAGAAAATGTGCCAACTTTAAACTTAAGTCTAAGTCCTTCCGGAAAATT